AGCGTGTTGCGTAGCCCAATCAATGAGTCAAAGACTTGGTTACTATCGACTGACATGCCAGGATATTGTCGAGATTGGATTGCAGAAGACTGTGACTTGAGGATAAATTCCAATCGAAGGCGCGGTAGCTCAACATGTAGACTCGAAGAGGCCTCATGGAAAATACAATGCACCTTCGAAGCCTTTTCAATCGGCTGGAAAACATTGGATATTACTTGGGCCGTTTGGCACATGGTGCTGACCAAAATCGTTCCGTTCCTCTTGAGGCTCCAGGAAGCTTGACAAGGGCTTCTCTGGAGCTGCCAGTTTTGACTGGATGACAGCCATGGCGCTTCCAAGGATCGGAATTCCACCAGGTCCCCTGAGACCGAATACCAGTGCGCATAGCCTTCCACAAACTCATCTGGAAAAACTCCAGCAAAAAGTCTAGACGGAACCAGTTGCCAGACTTGCTCCCCACCCTTCACCGCTTTGACTGACATGTCGGAATCAGTGGACTCTGGCACGGTCTGTTTTCCGAGATGTACCGTGTAGCCCGAATACTGCTTTTGACACGAAAATTGCATCCCCGGTGTGTTGCTGGGCATTACGTCCAACTGAGATTTCCCGAATAAGCTGCGATATATTGGATGAGATTCATACTCAGAAGGCAAACGTGCAAGCGGGAGGCCATCCACAAGGAGCTCTCCAGTCAAGAGGTTGTAGTGCAACAACATGTCTTCGCTAAACCCAGACTGGCCGGCAAACCGAGTAAACAACCAATATGTCACGTCATTTGACACCCTGGACCACTTAGAGGTCTTGTCATAGGCTGCCCAGGCTGCGTCGATAGCCAGGTCTAGTCCTGGGTTCTTGCATTCAACGATACGCTCTGCGAGAATCACATGGCTGCGGTAACTCAGAACTTGCCACCGATGATACAGTAACTGAAGCAATGAGCCTGATTCTATTGTTAGAGAGTTCCTCCCGTTCCAAATGACTGAACAGCACTGCAGAAAGATCGAAACATCCGCCGAGGCGGCGAACATAGGGGCAATGGTTTCTGCATTGAAAGTCTCTATGCAGACCAAAGCGATATGAACGCTCTTTGCAATTAAATTAGCTTTGTGTGTATCATCAATAGTCTCACTAGCTTTCGTTCTGACAAGATTGACCCAGTGGAAAACAGATCGGCGGAGGTTGTTTAGACACTGAAGGCACATCGCACAGACTTTCTGAGAAGGAGACAAAGACAAAATCCTCAAAACCAGCCGAATGAGACTATTGATCCCATGTATGGTCTCCCAATTTTGCTGGACCCTCTCCATTGTCTCTTCAATTCGCGAGAGTGCCTCGACTGTGAATACCTCGTCGCACAAAATCGCATGTCCTTGTCTCAATGTCGTGCCTGCTTTCGATGGGCCTGCTTGATTGATTATCTGGAGCACAAAGATTGTGGTCTCGACTTTTTTCATGTCCACCGATGGCATTGACAGTTCCAGCAGGATATTTTGCCATTGGATCTCCAGTCCAAGGGGCATGGTTGCAAGGGCCTTGTATTCTTCCAGTGACATGTCAGCAGGGGCATCGCACTGTGTCGCAATGACAGTATTTGGTGACGGGCCATGTGGATTCATGGCAGGTCGAAACAGAAATTGCTGCAGCGCTGAACTGTGTGCCGGGGGCCTATATGTGCAGGAAGTCTCTGTTTGATGAGTCCAGTCAAAGCCGCTCACAAAACATCCGAGAACATTATCAAAGTATTGAAAGTGAAGTCCGTTGTTGAGGCAGACATCATTTTCCGTCACATTGAGAATTAACCTGTCGCGCCGATGAGTTCTCTCGTGGGGCTTATCCTGAGAAAGAAGACTGATCCGCTGGTTACGCCAGTGGTTGCTGAAGAACGAAGATAGACCTCGATATTTGTGTGGACGATACTTTGCTCTGGGCCGTTCTTCCACTGCGTACTTCATATTAAAACACCGATGCAGGAAAAACAGCGTGGTGTCACGCCAGCTTCCAAAGGGCTCGGGTACTCGAAGTTCGAAGACAGTGGCTTTGGCCCTTGAGCGATTGGTCGGCAGAGGCCACTCATGTATGCTGATTTCAATCGACTCGGCCTGTCTCTGATAACGTTCTCGAGGGCAATCGTAGCAGTGGACTCTATCCCGAAGCCCAAGTCTCTTATTCACAATGGTTTCGACATATTCACATGGTGTGTTAGAAGATAAAGCCATCAATTCCCGGTAAAGTTGCTGCCTTTCCCGAAGCTCGACCTTTTTCTTCGTCCTCTCCTGAGTGGCATTTTCTTCGATGGCTGCAAGCAATTGTTGATGGTTGTGAGACTGCTCGAAGTATCGAACAGCAAAGCAGGAGGAAGTCCCGAATTCCCGGAAAATGTTCGGGCCATGGTAGCGAAGGCGAGCCTGACGTCGACTCAGATACTTTTCAGCACACGCCAGCCTCTCCATGTGCGATCGAAAAGGCAGCAAAAGTGATTGAAAGCAGTCAACTGGTATGCATGCGTCATAGTCTCTCAAGATCTCATGTAGTTGAATCGCGGATTTGTCGCAGGCAATCCACAGCTCTAAGAGGGTAAGGAGCATGACTGATGTGGCTTCGGGGTTGTCTACATACGACGAAGACGCTTTCTCGAAGTATCGAACCATCAAAGCACAAAGTTGACCACAGGTTGCCTCCTCCCTCTGATGAATTTCCAGCCATGCATTGAGATCCGAAGCAACCCAATCCTCCAAGGCAGCAAGGTTGTACGCTTGGTAATCAGAATCGTGTGAATCGAGGTGATGTGGAAGCTCTGTTCGTTGGTATTTGAACAACTTCGATTGCGGCTCGAAATTTTCCCTGCACGGGCGTTTGTTGCTTCGATTTTCTGTGCTCTCGAGGTAGCGGTCAAGGCAGGGGAGCGCATATTGAATATCTTGACGGAAATTTAAATCACGCAGCAGTGGCATGTCGACACTGTGGCTATTTTTGTTCCTAATATGCGTCCACTGGCCTTGAACTGCGCTGCTTGTACGGCTCAAGATTTCCTGAACTGAGGTGAACCAGGCAGGCACAACCGCCAAGTCAAGCTTCAGCAGTCTGCGAACAATCTTGGCATTCATAAGAAAGAGAGTCTCGGAGGGTATTGCAATTGAAGCCCTGTCAACTATCGAGGTCATGAAGAAGACCATGAATTGTTTGTACAGATCGTCCAAGTCCCCTTCTGTAGACAGTCTGCGAAACACTAGCTGTAGTGTGACGCGCACCAGTAGCCATAATGCAGATCGGCGCCACGGCGATTGGGAATTACGCCACATTACTTCCTCGCGAGTGTTCTTCTGAATCTGTACAGACGCGATGTCGGTGCATCGAGGACGAAGAGTCGACATGAGAAGCTCTGTCACCATTTTGGGATGCGTGGTGTCCCTGGTCTCGTCGTGCTCCTGTCCAGCCTTTTTGACTCTTGGCTTGGTTCCAGCAACGGACTGGTGACTCATTCTCGAAATCGTTTGCGCCATGAACGCTCGGAATCCGGGTTCCTCGAAAGTTGCCCTATCCATGACCATGGTCGGACCCGGGAAAGCACGGCGCAGCCGTCCCACTGTTGTTGTAACGGCTTCATTGCGAGCTGACAACTCAAAAGATTCGATGTGTATCGCGTCGTTATGCCAGTATAGGAGTATTCCTGCGTTTTGCTCGCGAACGTGAATTGGGAGGAATCCGCCTACGGCCTGGTTAGAAATGAGCACAATGATTTGCGTGTTGCAATCCTTACCCCAAATTGGTAGCTCTTCCAGACTCATCTCGAGCTGCTTTTCATCAACGTCCCCATGAGGACTGTATGCCTTTCTTAGGCGAGAAACCATCTCAGTGGCCTTACGTACGATAGTAGTATCTGCGGTCGGAACGTAATCGCTGAAACTGCGGAGAGCATCAACGACGCTCTCGAGGAGACGATGTTCTTGTTGCACATTGTAATCTTCCGCCTGGGGAACCTCTGGTGGGAGAAATATGTGGCGGAACAGGTACAATGTCTCCTCTAGCGTCATTGAATTGAATGCAAGAGAACCCTCCATGACGAAGTAGAGGCTGAGAGAGGGCGAATGCAGTGGGAATTTGATTGACTGCCAGGGAACCGAGTTTTGGGACCAATGTATGCTTTGTTGGGTTGCGAGGAGACGCCAAACAGTCGCTCATAAATAGCTTTAAATATCCTCCTTGTAAAAAGCATTATAGCCTTTGATTTTCACTGAACAGGGTTTTTGCATGATGCCGTCTATCACAATCTGCACGAGCAGAAGATTGAAACACATACAATGTGAGGGGCGCTTATCATTCCGTCTCAGCTCTCCTATAGGTAGAATTCATCACTCTGATAGAAGGGGCTAAGAAAACCCCCTATAGAGGCTTCCTTGACTCACAGCTATTATATCGACTATTGTCGATCTATGAAAAAAAAATGTAATCATCACCACAGTTTTCATTATTTGTAAATTCAGCTTCAATCCAACGTTCACATGGCATTGGAAATGTTCCATAAGGGCTTCCTGCCTCCCGCATAGCCTAGTCTGCTTCCCACATGGTCCAGTCCGCCTCCTGCATCATCTGGTCTGCCTCCCGCATGGCCCGGCCTATTCTGCCTCCCGCATAGCCTGTTCTGCCTCCATCATGCGGGAGGCATGCGGGAGGCATGCGGGAGGCAGACCAGATGATGCAGCAGGCGGACTGGACCATGTGGGAGGCGGACTGGACCATGCGGCTTATCGGCCCTTTCTCTTAGTCCGTCATGGACTTCAACTCGTGCGTTGGCCGAGTAAAAAGTACCCCCTCTCAAATCCACTACGTACAGCCTTCCGCGTGCCGCTCTGATCTCAAGCTACGGGTGGCTTATGTTATTATCCAAAACTACGGAATAAAAACGACCTTTGTGTCAGCACTCACTTTTCCATTTTCGTCGCGTTTTCATGTTCTTTTGATTTTTTCTTTCGAAGACAGCATATTGCGACAATCCGATCACAATGGATCCTCGCGAAGCCAGATCGACCGGGTATAGCACCTTTTCACCAACACTTGAAATCAAACCCAAAACCGTCGGTCGCCCGAGGTTCGACCCGTATCACAAGGTTCTCAGCAGGTTTTATGAACCACTGGTGCTGTTGCGATTGCTTGGACAGAGCCGTGGGAATCACCAGCCGAAACCGCACGATGTAAATGCAGGCCAGGCTGTGCGTCGGGATTTCTTGCGGAATCTTTCTTACATTTGTGACTTTGAAAAAGGCGGAGATACCTGCACCGCGATTGGACTTGCAGACCTCAGCGCATGCTATCGGTTATATGTCGCTTCAAATAAAGGACAAGCTAAAATAGCTGAGTTTCTTAAGGCTGTTCTTGGGCTACTGCACGATTTGAATGAGGTGCCAGGATCGCAGTCACCTCAAAAGGAAGCAGAGTTTGTGAAGTTTTGTGTTGATTTTGCGGAAAAGCGCATCAGAAAGGAAAAAAACTGCTTATTCAGGGCCGTGGATGCTTGTAGCCGAAAGCTTTCACATTCAGCTACAATTGAAGGTGTGCACCGCCAGTAAAGTGTTATAATATTGCCGATGCTAATGCCTTGGTAGCCGAAAGACTACGCAAGTGGTTAAGATCGCTCCCGAGCCATGATGATAATCTCACACTTTGCACGTTTGCATACGAAACCAGGCATTCTCCCATTCTCCCATGGTTGCAGTCTATACGGCAAGAAAACTTGCTCAGCCCAGATATAGAATGCGATCCTTTTGGGCTTGTGAGACATTACATCGGACGGCTAGCACATCATATCCGAGCACCAAAGGAGCTTGTTAAAGCTGTCACTGATATGAGCCAAATACTAGAAAGTTGCGAAGTTTCCGCTGTGGATCACATAGCGCCGGTGCCACCTCCTGCACCCGACAGACATACGAATCTTGACGGGATTCTCAACCGTATGTTAGGGAAGGGACACGACGAGCGACTCGACATTGAACATGGACTGTCGAAAATCAACGCTGCGAATGGACTCTTCGATAGATTTCCGGGCGAATATCGGAATCTAAAGCCACGAATCCATGCAGAGGTCCAAATACTTGAGCATTTTCATCGATATCAAATACAATTCACCGAAAATGATCGCTTTGTCGCTTGCAGTAAGGCGGCCTGTCTATGTTGCGAAATGTATTTCAAACACCACCCAGCACGAATGATTGTCCCTGAATCGCATCGAAATGTGTGGACAAACTGGGGACCGCCTCTGGTAGAGAACTTCTCGAAGGCCCACAGGGCAGGAAGGCAGCAGTTACATATACTGAACAAAGTGATTCACGAGATTGGCAATCTTGTCATCAGTCAAGCCCTTGGACAATCCTCGGTTGGCCAGAAACGTCCCGATTCAAAAACAGACATTACAGATCTCCATTCCCTCGGCTACACCCCAGCACCTATCAACGTTTCCGAAAAGAGTTCAATGGTTATGAGCAAAGATACCCCCATTGAAAAACAGAATCAACAATTAAAAAATCAAGCCAGAGGACCATCGATTAGCCCTGGATTATTGACTCATAACAACGAAGAATCGGATGATGAGGGCGGAGGCGTTTCCATTCAGGCCTGGATGCATTGAGGGCAACTACAATATCGCTCGTCTAAAGCTGATGGTGTCTTTGACTTATACTATTTTGACTACATATTTTTGTACTGCTCTCTTTTTTAAGCACGATGAATCTTAAATTGGAAAAACAAAGCTTAAGTGTTATTTATCTCTGCACTACCCCTTGCAGGTCCTCTGCCGGTGCCTTTGGAGATTATCGTTGCGTGTACAAGACGAGCCACATTTGTCGCAAGTAAACTCTTCTATGATCTCCAGATGTTCTCTAGCCCAAGGCTTATGATGTGCTACGACATGTCGGCGCATATCCGTTTGTTCAGCTGTACGATAATCACAGAAAGCTTGTGGACATTTGACAGGTTTGACGTGTCTCCGAGCGTGTTTCCTGGAAAATATTAGATACTGCATTGTGTTCGTTATAGACACAAAACGTACCTTAGAAGATGTTTCTTATCTTCACCTGTTTTCCATTCGCAATTCAAATACTGACAACAATACACTCCATCAGAAAACAATGTCATATGGTCTAGTGAAGGCATCTCTGCTTCTTCAAATTTGACCACATTTCGAGGCGCTAAGGCCAGCGGCTCTGACACGCTTTCCTCTGGAGCTCTGCCTTGGCTAGAATCCTCAGTCGATGCCATTCTTTCAAACTGTTCTTGAAAACCCTCTCCTCCATCAGGGAATACATCTGGTTCAAGTCTCTATAGAGATGAATGATCCATGTAGTTCTCTATAGACTCTGGGGGATTCAAGAAAGCTGCATCCGTGAAGCCGTAAGTGCTATTCATCTGTTGAAAGTCTTCGAATGAGGTGTCTGCAGGGGGTGCAACACCACCTGTCGCGCTGGGAACCATGAAGGGATCAATTGTTCCATGTTCGGGAAGGTAAACGATTTGTTCAGTCAACAGGTCAAGAAAAAAGTTTGGGTCTCCACCTTCATCTTCATCGTCCGCATCTTGGCCAGAGAATGTGTTGTCCATGGCTAATGGTAGGTACGCATAACAAAACAGCGCAACGTAAGATTAGAAGGCTTTATACTGAAGAAAGTCGCGAGTACTGGCTTTCTGGCTGATTAATCCCTGCGCGGATTGCTTGCATGACTTCGACAACTCATTTTCCTTTTTTGGAGTAGCCCGTACGATCCGTAAAAATCTACTGGTCAACTGCCTCGAGCCCAAATCACTCTTCGGGAGTAACCAATGGAGTTTATCCACATGTTTGCCATTCTTTCACCGCTCTTTCTCATGCATCTTTTTCAGTCTCGAGCATCAAGATAAGTCTCGACTCTGTGCAATCCTGTTGATTGGTTGGATAATTGGAGCTACGAATGCATAGCGCCTATTGCAAATTGACTCGAGTGAATTATGTTCCTCTCGCTATTTGTCGAAGCCTTTGGGGCATACAATTAACTGTTGGGCTGACAAAGTACGTGAGATGTATCGATTTTCTGAATATACCGGTGGGAAAAAATTCATAGTAGCCGCTATGTAGGTCCCTTCTTCTTTCGTTTCCTTGTTTTTATATTTAGACAACGCTCGGACCTTGAGCCAAGACATACTTCACCCGCACGAGTGAGGTCCGACGCTCTTAGAGGTATAAATGTGTCACTTCGTTCTTGGCCCTTTTATTGAAGTGCTGAAAACACGTTTATCCGGCTATATTTTTCTATACCCAAGACTACTTCGGTTGCTCGCTAGCTTAAATTGAAGTACACTACTTTGGCTACTCTTCAATCGTCTAGTCACCATTGTGCTCAGAGCTGCGAGACCTCTGCTATGCTTATATTTCATGATATATGGCTCTCTAATATAGTATAAGACCAACTCGTGCGAGAAGCGGTGCTCCGCGCAAATGTCATACTCGCCCTAGCTCGGTCCAGCGAACCCTAAACTTTAATGGTCAGGTGCTCTATTCTTCAAATTACAAGTAAAATTTCCGGCGAAACTAACCAAATAGCAGGCAGTCGTTTCGTTGAGTCATATGACTATGTTTCAGGAATGCGTTACCTAGAATCAACGTTTCCTTTCACAATCAGAACTGTGACCCGAAGGCAGTAGTTTTTCAAACTCTCGGCTTTACCCACCCCTCACTACCATCGCCAGAGGGGTATACTCTGCTATGCAGCCTAATCAGTGTAGTCACACGGGGCGCACCACAGAGCCTCGGACAGATACTTTGCACCCACTCACCAGCAGTCATCGCGGCAGTCCCGATAGAGTAATTTGACAAGCGAAGCAACCCTACCGTCTGGAGCACAAAACGGAAATAATTTAGCAAATTACACCTCTATTTTGTTTGAAATATGACAAGCAGAAGGCAAGAAAGTTGAACGTACGGCTTCTCAGCTTGATTTAGATCCTCCACAGTTTAAAGTGACCATACGTTTTAGAAAATTGCGTTACATCGGTAATTGGGCGACAAAACGAGATTGCTAGACATTTGGCGGCAGAGAAACTTTGCCATCGACTCGGTGTCAGAGTTTAAAGACAATTACAAGGTCAGTTTTGAACCATTCCTACTATAAATTTGGGTGTGATAAGAGTAATGTTCGAAATCCCATGGACCCACCAAGAGCGCACTAGTCTATTTTAGGCTGTCCGTCTTCGGTAAGTTGTCATAAATTCCAGTAAGGGCTTAGGTATCGAAGTATCTTGTAGCGCGTTATAGTCGGTGAACTTGATATCATTGTAGCTTTACGTATGTACTAGTAAGTGAATCTGGTTGCTAGTGCTATATAGTCATATTGTTATCGAGAGGTACAGCCATTTCTCATCGTAGCTCTCTCGCAATCGTCGACGTCATCAAGATGTACACCACACCGAAAGTCATGACGAGCCCATTGCCTAGAATGGCAAAAACTCTACTCGTCGAAACTTCTATAAATACAAGCTTCCACTTTACAAAATTTATTATACTGTACCATAGTTTGTTTATCAAGATGTCAGTAAGCCCAGTGACCTACTTTGAAGCTCAAGCACGATTGACGACTTGGACCGACGAGCTTGAATTCCTGGGCTACATTCTTTGTGAGCTGATCGATGAGGAGAGGTTGAATACGATAGGATATCGATGTCATCAGGCAGCTGATCTGCCGGCTATCATTAGCATTCTTCGTCTTCAATTGAAGGAGCCCGATGGATGCCTCGCCAAAATGATGACTGAAGACGAACTGACAGTCTTCCGCTGGTTGTTGGAAAAATCAAAGGACATTAGGAATCTTATGGCGCACCATAAAATCCTAAATGACGACATATTGAACGATCTTGAAAAGACAAAAGAGAGGCTGGGTGTCAGGCTTGAATTCGCCATTAGGGGGGCTGCCTCGGATCGTGGAATATATCAGGTTTGCTTTGATATTGATTCACACCCCGATATTTTATTAATATCTTAATGAAAAGGTTGCTTGGTCTCCCTATCATCATATTTGTAAAACATACATGGGAGTGAACGGACCATTGATAGTCATGGTTCCGCTTAATAAGGAACCACTGCTATCTTTTCGTGACCGAGTCCTACACGATGATGACCTCGAACAAAGTCGGGTGCTCTACCGACGCCCAAAGCTCAAGGCAACTGAAGAAGGTCGACAAAAGCAGAAAGATGATTATAAAACCGCCCTCATCAGAAAACAACAAAGAAAGGAGCGAGACATTGCCATGCGGTCCAATCATCAATCTAAGAAACTTGAAAAATTGGAACAAAGATTCATCAAGTCACAGGAGTTGGGATATGCTCGATTAAACGAGGTCAAAGTCCGGATGAGAGAAGAAAAAGAAGTATTCTATCGGCAGCGAGCCGAAATTCTTAACGACGGAATATTTCACCCAACTGTTGGGGAGAAATTTTTGTTCATTACAATTCTTCTTGCAATTAGTTCGCCGCTCTGGTTGACGGTTGTGCTCATCTATAATATATATAGCAGAACTCGAGGCCGCTGTCGTCGCGAATAATGGAATCTGACGGACAGGAATTTGCTAAGGTACACAACTTATCTTATATCTATGCTTAGTATTTGCACATGAAGGAATTTGCGAGTTACACCATTTTTCAGGACCTCAAAGATTAGCTCAATAGCAGAAGCGACCTCTCGTAACAAGAAGGTAAAGCTAATCTTCGAATATCGCTACAGTACGGGGCTTTTTTGAGAAACATATAGAGTAATTGCGATGATTTATGCCCTATGTCAAATCCTTCATCTTCCTTTGATCTTCGTCTAGCTATCATCCGAAATTAGACAGTCTGATCCCCCGTCTACTCTCATAAAGGAGAAAAGTCTCTCCGTCTTGAACACTTTGGAAGGCTCGGATCTGTAAAATGAATGATTTCACTTTATCCGGGTTTTTAGAGCGAAGCTGACCCACGGTATAGAGCAGTGCTTAATATAAGATAGACGACTCAATGATATAAGCTTTGCGCCTACGATCACTGCTATAGAGGCATAGACAACCTTTCGTAGTACAGTTCGCATATAGAGTTATATTAGAACACTATTCCTATTAGCACTGGGATATGAAGGATTCGTTGCGTTCTAAACTTAATTCGTATTTGGCGACACTCTGTGTAAGTAAGAGAGATATTCTGTCGCTTTATAACTGATGGATATGGTATATATAATTGGGAGGATGAAACTTTCTCTATCGGCCGTAAGGAGGTTCTTTCTGTTATAGCTAGTGATCGGGACTCGTAAAGTCGAAAAATATTGTTTATTGTAGATATCTATAGTAAAGACTGGGTGATGTAACGGAATTAAATGGTTAGTTCGTAGTGCCGGTTGTCTTTGTTTGCTAGATAAAGAACAACCTTGCCGGCTTCTTTGAAATAGGACCATCTATAAGACTAGACCTAAGGTATTCTTCTACAATCTTCCAAGGTTGGTTATATCCCACTACTAACCTTATTAGGTCTAGCCTAGGAGCCTGTGCCCAATAAAATCATGGCTAAGACCAACAATCTGTGGTAGCTCAAACAAAACAGGCATAGTGTATTTTAAAAGAAATGAAGGGGTTGATGTCGATCTTGCTATATCTCTCGCCTTTTATCATTCGCCTCTCCTTATTTGTTCTTTAACTCGCTCAGACTAGTCAACTTGGTTCCCACGCCAGTAAACTTCGATCTGCGTAAAGTAGCGCGAGATGATGTCATAGCCAAGACCATACAACATCGGCAAGCCGGTAATAAAGTGGGGTGGGAAGGGCAAAAGCGAAGCTCGCAAAACATCATCCTTTACAAGTCCTGTCTCAGGAACTAAGAGCCGAGTGCATTATTCCCCACACATATCATTCAAGTCGAATCAGGTGTTCCCAGACCTCGCAAAACGTAAATGCCGAGGCCACTTGAACGCAATCGTAGGTCTATGCCTTGTTGAACGACTCTAGATCTCTGGAATTAATGCGGGGTTTATTTCTCTAGGCTGGTGAGTCAGTCGACTCGTTCCCTTTCAAGCCACATGTCGCTTTTATCGCACGAAGTGCCCAGAGGCCTCGAAATCGATTACTAATTCAGGACTCCTCAGCCAAACATGCAGGTCACGGCGGGTCAAATGTTAGTCCTACATATATCGAACCTTAGAAAGCTATCACTCACTAACCGCGGGGTCATTATATAACGAAAGGCGACGGGAAACGACCAAAATGTTCACCATGTCAACGCATTGCGCGTAACTGTCATTGGATTCAAGAAGAAGAAGGCAATACAGCAGCACGGGGAGTTATAGTCTATCAACCAATCCCTTTGGGCTCATCTTCTCACCATGAAACCGAATATCCCTCCACGGAACATCCTGGATATGCCTTGCAGGACCAACAAGTTGCCAAGTTATTCCGCCACTATATAGAAACCTTGGCTGCATGGTATGATCTTAATGACAGCAAGCGCCATTTCAAGGATGTCGTTCCCGTTAAGGCTCGATATAATCCGCTATTGCTCAGTGCCATTCTCGCCTTTTCTGCTGCCAACCAACATCGCACCCTTGCCGAAGTCAAATATCTCGAGATTGCTGAATTCTACCACTATGACAGTGTGCGGAGATTGATCTCCCTCACTAAGGATATTGATAGCATTCCACTTGGTGAAACACTTGCCGCCATTTGCCTTTTACGGTCTTACGAAATTATCACACGTCAGTAGTTTGTCGAGATTTCTAACTCCTAAAGATTGCTGTGGGAAAGACAATCGCTAATAGCTTTGTAACATTTTCAGAGAACGTTAGCTCTCAGAATCACTTGCAAGGGTGCTATTCACTACTGGCAAGTCGGCATATTCATCTCGCGGCAGATCTACTCAGCGCAGGCTATTGGAACTACCTCCGAGAAGATATCACAGTGGCTCTCATAGAGCAGCGTGGTCTAATGATCACTCTTTCCGATCAAAATGCCCCACCAGAACCAACAGAGGATGCGGACTTTGCTAATCATGTCACATTCTTGCTCGGCAAGGTCATCAACCGGTGTCTTTCGGTCGATTCTCAAGCATTGACCGCCCTCGAATGGGAAGATATGAAGGCCAATCTTGATAAATGGAAATCATCACTGCCGTCATCGTTCGACACGATACAGACCCCTGGGCTCGGGAAAAAGAGTAGCTTTCCATCTATTTGGGCACTTCGAAGCTGGCATGGTGAGAATACTCCGCCTATGTTCCCTTCAGCTTCTAACTTCATAAGTTTCCACTCTCCATTACTACCATACCGCCATGGGAATTATGTGGCTGGCCCAGCCTGCAGTCCAACCTCTCAAAGCTCTGCAGCGTATCAACGAGATGGAATGTCTGCGGCGAAAATTAGAATACCATGCGACTGAAATTTGTGCCCTGGCCCTTTCAAGCGACTCGGAACCGGTCTGGGTCAATGCTTTTGGCCCAATCGCATTTTGTAAGTCTTTTTCAAACGTTTTCTCGGGATATCTATTCTGATTTCTTTATTTGCAGGTTCCCCTTGGCTTCATAATACGCAGAAGCGGGTGGAAATGGCACAAGAGTTGGAAAAGTGGGGGAAGGTGACTGGATGGCCGGTTTCCATTATAGCAGAGGCTCTTTCTCCACCTTCAAACACAACTCATTAAACCGATAATGCTTGTTTATTTTAGATGATAATGAAAAAGGCTCTCGCTGAATCTTTTGAATCTCTTGTCCGGCACAGACTATTGGACTGTGTGGCTGCCTAAGCTAAGGCCTGCACCTCCGCGTTTGTCGGGACCTGCTTCCTTGCTTGATCGGTTCTCTCTCTCCTTCCGTCTCCTTCATTGTCATCCACCAGAGATCCTTTCTCCCGTTCTTTCACCATCAATTGTCAACACCAGCGACCTCCTTCGGCTCAAGGGTACTGATTGAAATCATACGCATTGCCAAAGCCACGGTTCAGATAGCGGGAAAGTGCTTCCGACTTACTCACCCATTCCACAGGAACCTCCAGCTCAGTCTGACCCTCGACTACAGGCTTCAGATCATCCGCAAATTCAAGTTTCATAGGGTTCCTATACCACGAAGCAAAGTGGACTGTCCGGCGTTAGTGATACTTTCGAACAAAACAGCCGGAAGAACCGAAACTTACTCATTGCCAGCATGACTCGAGGGTCCTCAGTCTGATTGCCAACTCCAGCATGCCAGAGGCGAAGGTCTCTAACAACCAGAGAGCCCTTTGGCACCACGGGTTGACACGGCGGACTGTCTAGACGGCGCTTCTCTAGCTCGGTAGGCTTGATGCGACCACTGGCACGTTCGCCGTGCAACCCTTCTTGAACATGTAGCCCCGCGTCAGTGTGTGTTCCCAGCCATACCTCGGTGGAGCCATTCTCCGGGGTCATGGTGATGAGGGGGACATTGATGACGTATGCGAAAGGATGTGTTGGGTGAGCAAAGTCTGCGTCTGAATGGACAGGCTGAGACATCGGGGGACTCTCTGCAGTCGGGGGCATTGCAGTATTTCCCGAGCAAAATGTCCATTTTGGGCGGGGTCCCAGTGCTGACGAGGTGATTTGAGTGGCGATGGGGTCTGGGTAAGAGTTAGGAGCTGTGGACTGAAGGGGAGGGGTAATTTGGGCTTTAAGGGCTTACTCATGAAAATACTGGGTTCGAAGTATTCCCTTACCGGAGGAGCGTCCTGCTGAATATTTCCGGGGTTATAGTTGAATGGACTGTCTCCTTTCCTGGACTGAAGAGAGTAGGCATCTTCGATCATCTTTTTGTTGAGTCGGTCGAGACAGTCATGAGGGATAGCATTTTCAATAACCACAAGGCCGTCCTGGTGGAGGCTGCGCATTGCAACCTCTAGATTCTGAGGAGAAAGTCGCGCATACTTGATCTCATCTCGTGATGGACGGACGGACGTCGGGTGGCTTGTGAGCTTTCCGAGATGTGTTGATAGAGACCGGATCTGACAGTAGCCGCTCAACACTGTTGGAACCTTGAAGAGGATTTGGCTCATGGTGATTCAAGTGGCCTCGATTTAATTGGAGAGAAGAATGCAAAGATGTTCGACGAGAGAGATCAGCTCACAATTTGTGCGGGGGTAAAAACCGGGCAGAAGTTGTCGACTATTTATACTTACGCCAGTTACACGAGGTCACTTTTGAACAACATAATAAACGTTGCGAAGATAGTCTGTAAAGATGTTTGCCCCCACAACTCTTCTCGCGCTTTTCTCGCCTTTCAGTGGAGCTATTTTCCTTTGTATTCAACTATGGGGAGAGTTCGATGTTTCTTCTTTGGCTTCGCAAATCGTATAATCAACTAAACAGCCTCGCAAATCATATGTTCGCTAAACGGCTCGCATTTGATGGTTTCCCGGTCGCCTTTCGCTAAACCCAATAAGCGAAAGCACAAGTTTTTCGCTCAACGCACGCCAGGTCTATATCCGATCAAGTTCATTATCATATACAAAATTGGCGTCGAATGCGAGTGAAATAAGGCGAAGAAAAGAGATTTTTGCTGTGATCAACCCCGTTTTTTCACCATGAATTCCCACCTACGGGCTGTATGGGCGGCCTGAAAATACTTGGATTCTGGATTTCGACTACGTACCTATGCCGAAAAGGTATTCGCCCATTCCACTGCAGCTTGCAATCAGACAACTGGATGGGAGGTTGTTATATCAAGGGAATAGAGATTACAGGCTCTTCCTTCCTCCCCCCAAAAGGACCACCAAAAAGCCATGACATGGACATATGGACATATAAGGGAGCATTCCATAGAAATACTGCATGACCTCATGTTTATCTATATATATTGTAATCCATGGAGGTATATTTCCTATTTAGGCTTCGGCCAGTGCACTTTCCCTCTATACTAGTATATAAACAAGACCTCCATACCATGTAACTATGCAATCAAGACATCTTCGACTTCTCTTCTGCTTAAACCAACAGCCTTTTTTTCAACACATAATCTCCTACTTTACACCAAAATGTCATCGCTATCAAACGAACCCAAGGCCTGGAAAAGCTGGTGGGACAGATTAAATAAACTCTCGGATAAGTCCGACGTTGACAAGGACCGGCTGAAAGAATTTATAAAGAAGCCTCCCCAACAATCTAAGGTCTCCATATTTGCCGCAGCGGATATGACCCCTACAGATGTCAATGAATTTTTTGGTCTTAGCCAACTTAACGGGTGGGAAGCATGGCAATTTGCTCGTCCCCTTATTACCCTTACACCAGATTTTGGTAACTATATGCTATCCCTTCACCTTGGTTATACTTTATCCTAATGAGTAACCGTAGAAGCATGGCTGAATACTTTTGAGGAACTGACTACCTCCTCAAAACCAACTGAGCCTCGAACGAGGTGCAAAATAGATGCTCTCATTATAACAGTCTATAAAGACTTAAAAGCTCGTGGGTGGTTAGAGGACGGTCCAAAGGTTACACTACAATTTGAGACTGCGCTAGAATGGGGGCCGATCACCTACCAGAACAAACTCCACAAGTGTGTCGGCAAAGCCGACTACAGTATGTTTTTCGGCGACCGAAACCATATGGCCTGTCATTTGGTCGTATTTGAGGCCAAGCAGGACCACGGAGTCTCCTCAAGCAACCATGGCCGAATTCTAGCATATATGGCGATGGTACAGGCTAGCCGAAAGGCTAGGGGACAGACGGACAGTACTGTATGGGGTGCCCTAACAGATGGGCAATGGTTCTACTTCTTCCGGTTGAACAACGAAGGCCAATGGTCTTGTGTCACCTACCAAGTACGTCGCGATGGCTGGGCAGCTATCGCTAACATCATTGCTTCTATGATATTACGGGGACATGAGACTGCGGCGTCTCCTCTTCGTTCAAGTCTCTCCTCTACCTCCTCCAAGCCAAAAATCCCCTCCCTCAACATCGCCGCCGTCCTGGACGAGCCAATATTTGCTACTGGTCAGTGAGCTTGGAATTTGTTCCATCACTTTGTATAGTCACCGCGATGAGTTGACAACTATTATTAACCGAGGCAATGGCGACAATAGTCAAAGCTCTTGTACACTTGGCATAATTGTTGACATGAAATTGCAACCCTGACTTGACTAATCGCATTGTTCCGTATAGTAAGCCAGATTGTCTATAATGTAGCCAGGGAAACAATAATTAGACAATTCATCGCAGCAATGAGTAACAAAAAAAAAAAAAAAAAAAAAAAAGAGGGGGTGAAAAAAAAGCAACTTGAGCGACACCTGTGTGATTCGAACACACGCTCCCGAAGGAAATGCCTTAGCTTACATGTTCATGCATAGCAGGGCACCGCGTTAGGCCACTCCGCCAAGGTGCCTATTTGGCCTGACTTACCTCCATTCTGGTATTTGACGGACATTACCTCGCCAAAACATTGCGAACCTATTGAATATTAGTCCTGTTGGTCGTTGCTGCTCTGCCACATATCATGTAATGGTTCAATGTTTTAAGGTCAACGTTCCGTTGGTTTCGGCCTTGTAACCATCAGCATATTTTGGTTGTCACTGGAAAAGAAATGTGTTGAGGGTCTGCAGCTCGCTACCATATTCTTTGGGAAGCGAGAAAAAGCTCCACAAAACCCAGATTCACTCACAACATTGCCAGGGAAAATGACCAAAAATCCGAAGAAACTCCTCGCTCCGCTGGAACATAAACGTTGTTTTGTACTCAAGTTCGCATCGCTTGTAACTAACATAATTCACCACCGAACTGGTCACCTCAAAACACGTCTATAAATTAGCACTTTGTTTATTTAACGACCCATGCTGCTAATTCGCTACCGAAACTCTAAAAATCTCGGTTTCGGAAGGTTTACAACGCGGGCCAGGTTAGTGTGTAGCGCATACAACATAAAGAGATATGCCTAGATAGAGAAATCAGCTAGTTGGATTAATTTAACAGCGTTATATTTGAGATAGGTGCATTCAAAATCAATATGTTTATATGGATGGCCAGCTCCGTAGTGAACTACGTTAATATATCAGCCTACTGGAGGAGGTTTAAGGGTTCGCAGTATTATCAAATGAGCGGAAAGTTAATATTATAAGGTTAAGAGGACATTAAGCTGGCATTACATCAGCAAATAGGCACTTTGGCGGAGTGGCCTAACGCGGTGCCCTGCTATGCATGAACATGTAAGCTAAGGCATTTCCTTCGGGAGCGTGTGTTCGAATCACACAGGTGTCGATTTATTTTTTTTATTTCTTCCCTTCACACGAGCTCTTGTAAATAATGACTCTGTAGGTATCCTGTATAGTTACACAGTTACGCGCATAGTAATCGTACCTCAATTTTCTTAACTCTCAGGCTAGCTTGAACGAAAACAAAACATAAATATCTATAAATGTCAGTTTCCATCGATATAGTACAAAGTTTGGTTCTAAAAATATGACGGAAGTGTAAAGCTCGTCTTAAAAAAGCACCGCACACGAAATATCATATGAATGGTTCTTACTGAGATTAATACCAAGTTAGCTCTTTATAGTGACATAAACAAATTCAATTCGACGATCCCAAGATTACTTCATTTGTTTTCGCCAGCTTCGGCTTGGTCCAGGAACTCTTTGACACTGGTGGCGCGCAACCCTTGGAGGATCCCGGTGTCCCTTTCCAACGCTTTTCCCTTTGGGTTATTATTCGCATTCGTAGATCCCAGAACCCTCATCTGGTAGATGGCTACATGGGCATCACCCGCCTTCAGTCCTTCATGAATCGCGTCGAGGACCCCCGAAAAGGTGACCGGGTTAGTTTTCCAGGCGGCGGCACTGAACGTTGGCTGATCAGGGAAATCCTCGATGTTGATCTTCTATTTAGAAGGGATGAAGTGTCTATACCTACGCGACTAGTGGCATACTTCGAGGATATTAGAGTATGCAGAAATGTAGAACTCGCTAGGGCCGCTGAGGGTTGATATAACCGCGTCGCAATCATCCAGGTTTTTTGGTTACATCGTCGACGGAGTAATCGGTAAGGTTGATCTCAGCCTTGAGGTGCCCGAAGTTCGGTTTCACCGTACTAGTAAGAACCACGACTTCGTCCTCTGACTTGCGAAATTATGTTGCGGGGCGAAGGCCAACTTCACCAGCACCAACAAGAGCAATCCTCATTGTTTCTGAAAGGTATGTAGGATAGGGGAGTGTAGGCAAGTCAAAGATAGGAGTGAGACACGATGTTCGTCGAGTCAATAGGAGTCTGAAAAGGAGAACCACACTTACGAACTTTGGCAAGCTATAAAGGTTAGTATGGATCTATTTGATATACTTCCGAGCTACTATAGTCATAGGTCCGTAAAACCCTGGTAAAAGGTCTACCATGGCCGAGCGTATGAACAGGTCCATTTTACATGATAAACTTAATATGTACCTTGGCATATAGATGTAGTTGATGGCATAAGGATTACAGATATTGAGTCCTGCATAATAGAGCAGAGATAGACTAGAGCTTTATTCGAATTCAACATGAGTTATCGACTTAGATATATAGAGAAACAAGGTCTTATCTTCGTTACGTTTACATATCCACGGGTATTACTATCGTACTTTTATTTCTGTTTTAGGCTTTCCCTAATGGCCAATACCTCGCGATGCAGCAAAAGGAGGAAGGCAGAGTGGAGGCCGTTTAGAAGAGTGGACCTCGGGATATTCTATAGTAGGTCTACTCTGGGCTAGAGGCCAATTAAATTGAGGGATAGTGAAATTAAGACTTTACTTTGTAGGGATCCTATCACGTAGAAACATAGTATATCATTACGTTATTATTTGTATTCCAAGGTTATATATTTATAGAATCAGAGGCGGGAATCGTAATCCTGGGAGGAGTCGCCACCCCTTATGTGGCATGTGATGCAACTAGGAGGATGAATTGCCGTTATTACGCAAAATCCAGAGTTCCTCGAGGAGCTGAATTATATAGAGATTTATAGGTAGCTGAGGGAGTCGTGGTCTCTACAGAACCTGATTTCGCAGACAGTAATCCGTCCTTTCAGCTCAGACCTAGCGGTAAGGAGTGGAAGAGACTAGAAGTTCAAATAATTCGAGCATAGGAATCTTGAGGAGATGATGCATAGTTTCAACGGCATAATTATGGATTAAGCCCTCTAAACCAAGATCCTTTAGATCCAGATTAGAAAAGCATATATTGAATCCACAGATTCGGTAGAGAAATATAAGGCCATACTTGCGTAAAGCCTCATATAAGTGCTCTAGAGAGGAGTTGGGTTGGCGGAGCAAGCGTTCTAGTTCAAGAGCTGGCCACTCCTATAATCTCCTCTCGTATATAAGAACATGTAATGTTGAATTACCACGCAACAAGGCACTTTGGCGGAGTGGCCTAACGCGGTGCCCTGCTATGCATGAAAATGTAAGCTCAGGCATTTCCTTCGGGAGCGTGTGTTCGAATCACACAGGTGTCGATTTCTTTTTTTATTTAATCTTTTTTTACTCTCTGCCTTTTTTCTCCTTTCCCTTCTTAGTTACATTATAGGCTTAGTTTTTGTTTTCTACACAATTTAGCTTTAGCCGTGCCAGGCGCCCAACAACCGTTCCGGTTGTTGGTGCGCCCCGGCAAACACAAAATTCCCACCGAACGCAAAATCTAGAAAATTAAGTATCTTGTGTATGACTTACCAATACAGAAGGTACTTAGGTATCCCGTTAGCATAACACACTTTTTCTCAGCCCTCGAACTAGTTAGGGCAAATATAAGGAGATATAGATAGTGTAAAGTAAGTCTATATTATTTATCCAAACTTTAGTAAGGAATATTAAGTAGTTATACTAAAATGGAGAATGTACCTGGTTATTTCCCCCATACAGCCTAAAATTATTCTTCTTCTTCAATATTAGATGTAAAGCACTTATACTACTATTAAATTAATTAAGCTAGTCTCGTACTATATATTCGTATACCTTCTATTACTTTAGCTAGTTCGAGTGCTGAGAAAAAGTATGTTATGTTATCACAGTTCCTAAGTACCTTTTGTATTGGTAAGTCATACAAAAGATACTTAATTTTCTAGAATTTTGCGTTCGGTGGGAATTTTGTGTTTGCCGGGGCGCACCAACACCAGGTCCCCTGGTGTTGGGCGCTTGGCACGGATACCTCGGATAATCTTATTTTGAGGCCTTACTTAATTTAATATATACCCAAAATAAACTTGGCACCTCACTATTTTGTAAACATTTGTTTGCATCTCCAGGAACTCCAACAACCCTCGATTTTAATAAGGTGTGTGGACTGACCGGCCTTATGATGTGGTTTGATTGAATTTGCCAATACAAGTGACATTTTATAATGGTAGACAGGCAACATAAAGAAAGGGGAGAGAGCCAAAAATGATAGTACGGCAAATGAAAAAAAAATCAAGCGACACCTGTGTGATTCGAACACACGCTCCCGAGGGAAATGCCTTAGCTTACATTTTCATGCATAGCAGGGCACCGCGTTAGGCCACTCCGCCAAAGTGCCTTATTTCTTGATTTCCTTGTTGCACCAGCTGTAGATAATCGATCAACATATACCGGTTTGGAGGTGCAGGTGCCTGCTCATCTTCTTATAGAATAGCTCCCTCCACGCTCTACCGATTTTTGGCCTGGGCGTTTGTTTTTCGTTCAGTGGTTGGCTGGATATTGTTTAGTTGAGTTGTAACCGAAGTTGCGTTATGCAAATTGGCCACTTTTATGGGCGGATGCGGTCAATATATACTTCACATCAATAATTTTAGCCTTGCACCGGGGGATCCTTCACCCCATAAAAAAATGAAAAGAATCCAGTTAAGCTATAAATAGCAAAGTATACAAATCATCCTTCCTTATTCATCTTCCAGTAGCCATACCTTTGGTTGTCATTGCAATATCTCAGCATGATCATAGTGGCTCTTGGATGAAGCCTTTATGTACAGCTTCATGAATCCCTCTGCGCCAAATCATTGCCATCTTCGCATAGCCTACATCATTGGGATGTGTGCCATCCGTCAGGTCACCGATCTGGGGCCCATCAGGGCCATGCATGTCCACGATGATAATTTTTCTTCCTTCGGCCGTTCTCGCTTTTGCTATTTCCCAGAATTGCTCGTTGACGCATAGGACTCTTGAGTCAATCTTTCCATCCAAGTTTGGAAGGAGAGTAGAAAGGATGACCGTTGAGCCAGGAGACGCCGTATAAAGGTATTCGAGCAAGTCACTCATTCGCTTTCCAGCAGTCTCGATCTCAAAGTCCTGGACGCAATCATTTGATCCAACATTCACGGTAAAGAGGTTAGGCAGCAGCCTAGGAACTGATCTTTTGGCTTTGTTGGTAACTTGTTCGAGTCTGAACCCCCGCCAACCTTCATTGTCGTTGTTCTCCATTGAACCGGACTTGCGAGACCCGACCATGTCCACAATGTAACCATCTGACATGAGATTCTGTTGAAGAACTCTCCTATAGCCATTACCGTCACTAGACTCAGAGCCATACGTGACAGAGCCGCCCAGTGGCATGATTCGCAAGCTCGGCTTCGTTTTATTTATCCGCGAACCTCCTATATAATGTATGAGTATAATAGAGGCACCATGGGTAAAGGGTCGTATACCATGATAACCTGCCAATTTCGTCTTGTTTTGGCCTATCTGTGGAAGAAGCTTTGTCTCACGGGTAATAATTGACTCGATCCCGTTGATCCCCCGCGTGAGACAGCGACTAGTTAGTTTGCTGCATAAGCTGTTATTATAAAAATATGCCATAGTCGACGGTGAAATGTGAATGAGATGGCGGTAGGGTCGCAAGGTAAAGCTCACAGGGTACATAAAGACCCATTCGGCGAAATGGTAAGGATGCCGAGTTACAACCTTAGCAAAACAGGTAATGATCCGTAATTCCCTGTTTTGACCGAATACGCCCGAACAAGCAGAAAGGGGTAATTTTAGAATATTATCTGGCCTCTCCAGGTCTTGTTTGCCTTGTTCTCTATACCCAGTAGGAATATATAGTTCCCTATATCCACCATTCTGTAGTCAAAAGTTTACGAACAGATAATTGCAAATCATATAGAAAATAAGTCATATTCCAGCTCATAGCATAAGGTCATAGATATGACAATAATAATGGTCCACTCAGCAAAGAGCCACGCTCAAATTATACCAAGTATTTATAAAACAAAGAAAAAGAAAATCGTAAAACATCCCACAACATCAAAATCAAGCCTCAGTCTTAGGCCCAACACTCTCAAGGTGGGTAGCATCCTCAATCTTCTTCTCGCCAGCATCAAACTCAAGCTGCTCAGTGTAGTTGACGGCAGGAACCCAGCCAACAGAGTTCCAAGCGCGGGGAACCTTAGCATAAAGCTCATCAACCTGTTCAAGGGAAAGACCCTTGGTCTCATAAATGCAAGTGTAAACAAACACACCACAGACAAAGCAGAATCCACCCCAGATGAAGAACACCTTAGACTGGAGGTTGGCATTTCCAGGTCCGCTGTTCACCATGTACGGAGTAGCGTAGGCAATAGCCCAGTTGAGTAGCCAGTTGGTGGCGGTGGTGATGGAGAGACATTTGGCGCGAGCCTTGAGGGGGAACAGTTCACCGGTGACGACCCAGGCAACGGGGCCCCAGGAACTGGCGAAGAAGAAGATGTAGATGCAAACGAAGGCGATGAGGACCTTGTTCGAGACTTCGGAGTTGATTGCTGTGCCGACGATTGCGACGATGAGTTGCGAGACGCACATTCCGACAGCACCAAACATGAGCAAAGGACGACGACCCCATTTCTCGACCATGTAGAGGCCCGGGAAGCTGGAGACGACGTTGATGATACTTGTGATCAGGGTGATGACGAAGGAGTTTTGGATGCCGGAGTTCTGGAAGAAGGTTGTGCCGTAGTAGACTGCGGATTTTGTTAGTGTGTGAAAAGAGCAGTGAGTTGAGAGGAGAACGTACAAATGAAGTTGACACCAGCGAGCTGCTGCAGACCCTGGACAGCGCAGCCAGTTGCGAGACGTTTGCCGATGGATCCACGGACGATCTCGAAGTAGGTGGCCTTTCCAAGACGCATTTCGTATTCGTGGTTTGCCTGGATCTCGGCGAGTTCAGCGACGACGGCCGGGTCGTTCACGTCCATACGGCGGAGACGAGCGAGGGCCTTGGTAGCCTCTTCGTAGCGATCTTGCTTGATCAGGAAACGGGGGTTTCGGGAAGGACCAGCATGCCAACGACTAGGATGATAGCCCAGGCAAATTGGACGGCAATGGGGATTCGGTAGCAGCCGGTGTCATCACGGTCCTTGGTAGCGTTGTTGACGATGGCGGCGAGGAGGAGACCAATTGTGATGGCGAGTTGGTAGGCGCCGACGATTGTACCACGGATCCATTTAGGTGCAGTCTCAGATTGGTAGAGGGGGACTGTGGCGGAGAGGAGACCGACACCAAGACCGGCGAAGAAACGGCCGGCGACGAAGAGGGGGATAGAGGTTGAGATGGTTTGGAGGATGACTCCGAAGACGAAGACGACACTCTCAATGATCATTCCCCATCGACGACCGACTGTATCAGCGACAGGGGCGGCGCCGAGGGCACCGAAGAAAGTTCCTGCTGAGAGGAGAGAGACAATCATGGATGACTGGGAGGATGTGACATCTGGGAGGTGATCCTTCTCGTTGATGAAGCCGGTTGAAAACATCTCGCGCCATTTCTTCATGGCGAGGATACCGCTGATGGTACCTGTGTCATATCTAGATGGATGTTAGACTTGTCTTGGGAATAGGAGTATTGAATTGGAAAGTGGCACGTACCCAAAGAGAACACCGCCAAATGCAACGAACAATCCAATCATGATAGCCGGGGCAGCAGAGCCCACGGCATCATCTGGCCTCTTCAAAGCGAAGCCCATTGTGAATGTGATCAGAGAGAAGCAAGTTCAAGCCAGGAGGTATATGTGTTGTGTGAGGATAGAAAGGACTCGGTGGAGCAGACCGATATAGCAGAGAAAAGTCGGAGAGGTAGAGTAAGTAAAGTATAAACGAAAAAAGGAGAAAAACCTAGAGGTCAATCCCTTCTATTTGTACTTCCCCAGTCCCAAATTCTCAAATTCTCAACCACATGGTCTTCCATGCCCGGGGAAATTTGCAATCAACAAACTCCGAAAACAGCACGGGGTGGAACCACCTGGACAGCCCAAGGGGAAAAAAAGAATTCTGCATCCTGTCCAATCCCAGAATAGTATTGCCAGTATTTTCCCCATTCCCACGTATTTTTGGATCCATGGATGTTTTAGGCCTGGGGATAGAGTTTCGACCGAAGGTGGAGAAGCCAATGGCAGCTGAGTGGACTCAGCCCCCGGACTCCTACCGGGCTGGTCATTGGCCCAACACTGGAATTAGCTCGACGCCAAACGAGTACAAGGTATTTTTTTTATTTTTTTTTTATCTGCGCCCTGAACCTTACATTACGCTTGGTTTGCACTTTCCTTGCGTAGTATGAGTAGGATCGGCGAAAATACACATTGAGAATGTAGAATGTACACAGTATTGCAGTGGTTTGTATAGATTTCGGCTAACTATTCCGATGTTTACAAACATGTCTTAAAAGAATATGGGACGGAAATAGGTTTTTACATACCACATGACAGGACAGGCCGAAAACAGGGGAGTCGGGTTGGGCTAATGCCGATCGGTATCGGTGTCCCGCATCAGGGAAAAGGTAAACGACCTTGGAAATTTATCTTACATAATTCCGCGATTTCACGGGGATTGTAATTGGGTTGGTCTTGGGTATACCTAGGTAGTTGCAAAGTGTATTATATTGTATATGTTGTTTCATGTTTAATTGTAGTAGGAGTAGGATACTGTAAACTAATTCAACTTCACGAATAAGTTTCCCCCATCTTTTCCCCCTCACGGTTCACCCCAGATCCAAAATTTCCCCAGACCTGTACGGAGTCAAGGCCCGAGATTTACAGGACCAATAACCGAACATGTTGATGAATTGGTCGGTGTTCACCGGAGCCGAATCGGGAAGGGAAAAGAAAAAGTATGAAATGGTTAATTTCCCCGTTCCGAAGTTTGACCCTTCCGAGGACCTGCAAGGGTCCAAATTGCTAAAATGGCCGGGTAAAAACCAAACAAAATGGCTTGTCCCGTGCATTGCGCCATTTTTCCCGAGTCGCGGATTGGACAGATTACCCGACGCTATCCCGACCTTGGTTGCTTACGGGGAATTGTCGGAGACACGGGTGGTCTGTAGGTAGCCAGATCGGTGTCAGGCCCGAGGAAGAAGCATGTGCCAGTCGATGCTGGTGGGTTTAGCCGAGAAGTGACGCAGTTAGGGAGCTGATGTAACCCTCAGAGCTCTAACTAGTAGTAGTTAGCTAGTTAGCTCATTCTACCTTTTTCTCTCTATTTTTATGTATCACGAGGACGAGGTTAGTGCTGGCAATAGATCACACGATCAATCAGAAACTAGGACTACGCCATTTAGGCACGTTCCGGCAAAATGCTTGTCTATTATGTTTATGCTCGCTGAAGGGAGAAAAGAAAAAGAAAATAGACTAGCCAGACTAGCTACCAGCGCCAGATCAGGATGAAATACACAGTCAGCACCACTTGCACCACAAACTTGACGGATTGGTACAGATCCCGGACAATGAGGGATGCCGTCGATCGGGAGTGGGTAGCCAAGGCGGGTCGCCATGCAGCCTTATCCTTTGAGGAAACGGCTCCGGAGTCATCGTCTGTGCCCCGGTAAGCATCTTGCGGGGATTGAGTGCCGGGGTAGCGGGTGGAGGCCACCATGCCATTGCGGCTGGCTAAGTTATTCGCCGATGAGAGGGTGGAGCTGGACGCACCGGAGGTGTGGTACTGGTGGTCTGGGAGAGAGCGGCGCTCGGTGAGGGGAAGAAGGGCGTCAGGTGATGATGGTTCTGGGGTGTAGAGGATGCGGTAGATGGAACGGAGGAGGAGGATGGAGACGCTAAGGCCTACGATGGTGAGGTAGTAGAAGAAGATTCCCAGCTGGTCTGGGAGGATACAGAGGTGGTTTTGGATAGTGGGTGGCGATCCGTCCTGGGTGGCTTTGCCTGTCTTGGGGTCGATTGGATTCCACAAACTGGTGAGTACGAACCCCGGTTGGCGGACTCCCATCGCCCAAGAAATGCTTTTGACTGTGATTTCGTTGGGCGAGCCGTTGAATTCCCGATGGGACACTTCACAGTAGTCGTGGTCGTCGCCGGAATACACCTGGACGACGTTGGGTCCTGCCTTGGAAACCAATTCGGTGGAAATGGTCTGCGTCAGGACATTCTGGTACTGGTAGCCTCCGGCAATTCTCAGAGAGTTAGGCTCGTCCTCAGCCAGTTCCTCGTCTAATGAAGAGGGCGGGTAGCGTTCGCGGAGAGGACCACATGGAGTAGCTGGCTTGCGGTAGAGAGGGACGTGTGTGAGGATAATAGTAGGAAAGCCGACACCTGCTGGCTGAGGCTTTTGATGGATGGCGGGCTCGACAGCGTCAAC